CTTTTCAAACAGTGGGACGGGCAACCTTGGGGTGACGCAGTGATGTGCCAGCAGGGGGGCGTGATGGACATAAGTGTAGCGCTGCTGTAATTTTTGAATAATAACAAGCCTCCAGTCACTAGGTGGCAGCAACTTATACAGTGGTTTGTACTGATAAAAATATACATGTTAACAGGTTCTCAATAGTATTTCGATTCGCGGGATGTGGGCCGCAGGGGCGTGAAAACATTTCTGTCCCCAAGGGGAGGCATGACAGAAAATAATTAGAAACCACTGATTCGGAACAAGACGTTCTGTTCTTACAAGGAAATCAGGATCGAAATACAAAACTGTGACCGAGCAGTACAGTCACATTTTTTCTTTCCAGATTGTTTTACAATCTGGGAATTTGCGGAATTTTCTTTTGAAGACTCAAGATGATTTATTTGTCTCATGCCATTGACAACAGACAATACAGACAGGGAAATAGAAATTGTGACAGGTCCCGATTGCGCCAAGAGCGGGTATAAATAGAATTAAATAGAATTGGCTACAATCTGTATATGAAGGACAAGATCGGAGAGAACAGCTGAGTCACCTGTCGATATAGTTGTTGTTTTGCGTAAATTCTGCGTAACATCTTGCAACCCCTATCACATATATAAATATATTTCCATATAGGTACTTCAATATATAGTATCTGCCATTTAGTTTTCATACCGAAACTGTACCAAACCATGGCGTCAATACCGAGGTACGTACCGAACCGTACTTTCCTAAGCATTACACCCCTGACATAAACTCGACCTCTGAGCAAGTTAGGGAGCGTGGGGAAAGAGAGGAATGGAACAAGGCAGACTTCCACTTCTTTCAACTGTTCCCTTCAGGGGTCGCCTCAGTGGATCATCTGCGTCCATCTCACCCTAACCTCTGCCTCCCCTGCTTTTACTCTCCATGTCCTGTTTCATAGCATCTACAAATCTCATCTGAGTTCTCAAGGCAGACGCCCTCATGAACTAAAAAGAGAAGTGGGGAGAGCGCTGAGAATTCTATTTACAGGATTTCTGTTACCATATTTCAACATGTATAACCCTGACGATGGACGCCAGTGCCGTTGATCATAACATCAGCAGTTTAACACCACGACTGAAGACAAATTTTAATGGCGTTGAGGGCAAGAAAACCTAAGGGTCTTTCGACACACTTACAGACACAAGATGGCATTTCCATATATATCCAACCAAGTATTGTAGGGAATGTGTGGTAATATTATGAAAGACTCAGGTTGACCTTTAAGTGATAAGCTTCAAATGAGCCTCAATATGAAATCATACCTAATCTTGTTATCAACCAGCAACTGTCTTAACCCTGAGCCTGCAGCAGCAGGATGGAGTAATAATTAACAGGCCTGAAACAACAGTCCTATAAACAGAGCACTAATTATATCAGTATATTTGGTGTTGAACAGAATCAGACGACTGTTGGAGATCCTTATAGAGATGCTTGGGCTGCAAACAAAACCACAAATTCGAATGCAGTGTCAAGTTGTAAAGTGATCCTAATCTGTAACTATTCACGTTACTGCTTTCAAAGCTGTGTGAATTAACGTATTAGACTTTAAAAAGGAATAGCTGAGAACAGCACTCAAAAATGGCTCATCGACTTTTGTGGCTTATTATAGGAACTTTCCTGGATTTCCTGGAGGTATACATATTGACACAAACAAAAGGTTTCATAATAAATTGTAATAATAGTCGTTTTTTTAAAAGACAGGGTTTTTGACATGCAATGCAGTGGGGGGTAAACAGGGCAGGCTTTGAACGGTGAAAATAATTGGCATGCAAATATTGAAACTATAAATATCACTCACTTAGAATACCAAATAAACGTGTCACAAAACACTTAAAAGTTGAAGGGTCATCTCAACGTTCCAATAACAAAGTTATTTGCAGTACAACTTGTCTTCACAAATATACTATACATGCAGAAACTATACAAGAGTAGAACGAAATCTAGCAGTAGCAGTAGCAGCAGCAGTAGCAGCAGTGGTGGTGACAGTGGCCTGCTGGTCCAGCCACAGAATCTGCTCTTAGAGCTCCAGGAGCTCCAGCTTGATTCAACAGCTGTGTCCAGCTGTGCCACAAAAACACACAGAGTCTTTTGTTTTCCACGGGGGAACGCAGTGTTTTGAGACTGCAGGCTTTGGTATGTGTGACTCCGGCCGGGCGTTTGTACACATGGGTACAAGTTAAGGTTAAAGCTCGTGGACTGAACTGTTAGCAAAGCTCTGATTTTTTTTTTTCTTCTTCTCAGCACTTCTACATTCAACGTTCTATCCCCTCTTCACAGTAGCAGTAGCTACAATGTCAGACGCATGAAAAGCAGAATAAAAATGTTTCACTGCAGGGAAATGTGACAGTAAATATTTACTGTCAAAATGAGCCCAACACACGCATATTCTCAGATCCATGTATGTAAAGACCGCAGGCTTCTGTTAATGATCTGCCAATGGTTGGTTCACTAACTTCTACAGTAAAGCTTTGAGGAACTCTGCGACGTTGCTAATAGATGAACATGCTAAGAATGTCAGAGTAAACAATAATTATCATAAAAAAAGGCATAAAAATAAACCCCCCCAAATTTGCCCAAACTGCCTGCAAACGTAATCAAAACACATGCCACAGATGTCTGGATGCAAATTATACGTAAATAAAGCGAAACTCACTTCGAAATCTTTGCCGCTTGCTAACATATTCTCTGATAGTTTCTATTCAGATGTTTCCTTTAAAAACCTGTGCCATGAGATTATATACGGGCTTCTTAGAATCCCATACAGGGATGCACGTCAAACGCAACAGATCCAACCTGCCCAAACTAGCTTGTCTGTGTTGTTTAAAATATGACACAAACAGAAAAAAGAGAACCGCAGAACTGAACTGCGACTGCTGCATTATGTATTGATGCCAAGTTTTATTTTTAAATAGTAATGTATATTTTCTTTTTTTTTTTTTTACTTTTTGAGGTCACTATCTACCTTTGCTGTGACAAGCCTGAATAATATCCCTGCAAAAACATAAAAAAACCTATCCACACTGAAAACTGATTGGTCTACTTAGCAAAAATTGTCCAACCAGAATGCTCTACTTTACAGTATGTGTCACAGGCACTTCATGGACCGACACAAAAACATGGCACTTTACACAGACATGGCCTCTTTCTCTTTCACTCGCTCTCTCTGCCTTGCTTACATGTTCTTACTTGCTCACTAGATCCTGGGATATTTTATTTATTTTGTGGCCATCTGCGAGCTGCTGCGGGTGACTCCTTGAACTGTCTGGAGACTTAAGATGTGTGTTTCAAGCATGATTTTCAAGTCCAAGACTGTCTCAGTCTGTCTGTCATTGAAATTAAAAAGGTGGTGTTTAAATACTGTATGTAGTGTATATTGAAAACACGATATGAACATTAGCATATTTAGCATAAGTAACGCGAGTTAATATAGTAATTTAGAAATTCAACATTTGACATTAACATTTTTTTATTTTTATTGACTAAATAAGTCGTCGATAAATCAAAATAAAACGAGTTTTGAGAGAGTAAAAACGACTCCCACATTCACGATATTTGCTCTGGAAATTCACGGTACCGATAACGTGCGATAACATCGTACGTGGTCCTACGTGTGACCACAGCCAACCAGGACGTCTACACACACACATATACACACACATGCACAGGCGTGTGACGCTTCACTGTCCACATCTGTTTCTGGCAACAACCTCTATGACGTTAAAGCAGTAACAAAAGAGACGGAAAACAAGCAAAACGGTGAAAGCTTCAGTGCAAGGAAACATAATTTCATCACAGTTCCAGACAGGAAACAGCAAAAGAAGACTGACACCCAGAGAGAGAGGGAGAGGGGCAAAAGAGAAAAAGAAAGAAAAAATAAATAATAAAAAAAAAGAAAGGCAAGGCAGGAGCAAGGATTCCACCTGGGGAAGATGTGACACATAACGATTTAAATTAACTCTAGTACTTACTCCGAGGAACCGGTTCCGCTCGGTCCACTGACTGGAGGACAGACCGGAAATCTCCCGGCTGTGAGAGTGAAGCTGGGTCTGGTTCTGTGTTTTATGTGTCTGTGTGTGTGTATGTGAGTTAGTGGGTACGTGTGTGTGTGTGTGTTTGTGAGGGAGGGAGGGAGAGAGAGAGAGGAAGAAAGAGTGGGAGAGAGGGTTAACGTGAGTCTTGCGTCATTTCAACTGGAGGACGCTGCGACTGTTGCGCGCAGCAATGCAGCCATCTTGCCGAAGAGAGGAGTCTCCCAACAATCTACTATTATTATTATTATTATTTATTTTTGTTGTTACAAATACTGTTGATGTTGTTTTTACTTGTATTACGTTACATTTTGGGCGTATTGCTTTTGCACATTATTTCCAAATCTGAGTACGAAGACACGTTAACATGTAATTTATAAGGGCCTGGTACATAACTTTTTTTATTAGTTTGGAGCAGATTTACGTGTATGTTTTGACAATTGTACGCTCACAATTCAAATTGAATAGTTTCTAAACAGATATGTTAGTAATTAATTAATGTTTCAATTGTGTATATATACATAAATGTGCGTCGGGATACCACACACAATAATTGTAATTACTTCGAAAAAAATATATAAACATTTATCATATATACAGTATAACACCTATATACTATGACCAATGGTAACTTGAATAAAACTTTCACCAAGTGTTCTTATGATTTGGTACCCCAGCCCCCCATTTTCACTTATATTAAGTTTATGTTTTATCATGCAACTTAAACATAGCTACACCTTCTAAAAAGGTACCATTCACATCTCACTCATTACACCTCACACCTTTACTGCTTCTATAAACATTGCATTTCATTACATTCATGTCCTGTCATCAAATTAAATTTGGTTGGTTAGATGATAATAAATGGTAGCTAAAGCAAACAGTTCTTTAAATTCAAAGAATCAAGCACAGACTTTCCCATTACCCTTTCAGTTTTTATTTAGATTTCCCAATGTTCATTTATAGGCTTTACTCTTCTTCTTCTGTCTAGCAAGCACACATCACTGCAGACAGATCATACAGCACCCTCCTGTGGCAGCTTGTTAGCACTGCTAAGTGTGTCTGCCCCTTCCAATGTGGTCCAGAGGCTGTCGGTTGGAATTAGAACCTGAGTGGAAAGCGCTAATAATCTTTCAGTCCATACACACATTTAAACAAATACAAATTCACGTTGATAATTGATTTTATGTAGCTTCAAAGACTCGGTGCTAACTTTAACTATTATATAGCGATTTTTGAAGATCCCGAAACATATTTGATAATCCTCTGGTGATTTAAACCACATTACAATGTCAATATGATTAGGACCAAGACGAAGAGCATATATATATATATTTATCATTACAATAATTTTCACATTGAAATAAAGTTAGTCAATGTACAAGGTAATCATAAAATTATCATTGGACCAGTGTTCAAGTTGAGCGGAGTGAGCCAGATGCATAGAGCGTAAAAATGTAAAAACTGGTATGGACATTTTTAACAGTCCCTATTTATATATTCATTAGTTTTCCATATGACCAATTAAACAGACACTCCAACAAAGTAAGATAAAGGCCCTGGCAACTTGTCTTAAATGAATTAGACTTAAGAGAACCTGGATGGTGCTTCTCAAAAGTCAATGGTCTTGGTAGTTGGAAGGAGCCTTCCAATTGGCCTCATAAAAAGAAAAGGCAATAAATCCCTCCTTGCATTCTGAGAATGAATGTAAAAGGGTTGCAAGTATGCGTCACTGCATTATCGACAAGGTTCAACCTTCTATTCTGCAATGCGCAAATAACTGTGTGTGAGTCTGCCCTATACAGAAGCTACATGTGTGCCCTTGTAATGTCGGTGTGCGAAGAACTTCCTCCTTTGTAGGAGTGGACGCATCCGGTGTACTGGAATAGTCTTCGACGGGGGATTCGCGAAGAAACGTCATTTCAAGAATCCGATCTCAACATCCGCCAGAGGGTGAGAGGAGAATCAAGTCATCAAAAATATATATTTCCAGTTCCCTTTATGTTTGTCAGATTGCTTTGGATGTGGAGAAGCACTACCTTCAAGAGTTCTTCTCACTGTCAAAGCCACAGGTGTCAAAGCTCGTCCATCTCCATCTGCTGGAAAGCCTCCAAGTCTTCCCGCCAGTCGGCTAGTAGTTCGTCCACTGAGGGGTTGCTCGAGTCTGTGTTACCCTCAGGCTCCTCTCTGACGTCAGAGTTCGTGTCCGTCTTCTCCTCAACCCCCTCAACCTGCTCCGCCTCCTCGTCTTCCTCCTCCTCAGGCAGAGTCGTATCTGCATCCGGTTCTGATGGACCGGAGTCCTCGACAGGACTGGTTTCTGTAGAAGGCGTCACGTCATGTGACACAGTCCTGTCAAACTGTACCGTGCTTGTTTGCTCATACGCTGCAGGATCGAACGGAACGGGAGTGGTTGCCTCTGTTAGACAGTCTTCCTCCACTTCTTGAACATTCACACCTAAAAAGGAAAGCAAGGGTGTTGAGACCAAACAGCTACAAAAGAAAAGGAAAGAAACTCCTCTAATTAGTAACCTGTACAGAATGCTTATGGCTTTGCTAGTCAAAAATAGATCCATTTTCATCAAGAGGCTGACAACCATAGCAGCACGATGCTGATGGTGAGTCATGTTTCCCACAGGAAAGAGCTTTTCTCGAAGTGCTGCACAGCCAGAGGGGAAAAAAAATCTGTCCAAGAAAAGTTGTTTGGTACATTTTGCCGTCATCTGGCTAAAACAAATCACTGCATTCTTTTGAATGCAATGCTAAATATGTTGAAGCCTACATTTGTGCCTTGTATTCTACAACGGAACACACCCTGGGGCAGGAGTGACGCTACTCCAATGCGGCATTCAGGGACACCGACACAGACTACGGTTTGTCACCGAGGCTTCACAGCCACAGAGACTCTCCACAAACCACAGGATTTTTGTCTTTGGAATGAAGCGTCTGTTCTGCTAAATACTACATACAGTTATGCAGCAAAAACAACGTGATTTATAATGTTAGGCTTTTTAAAAGCCGTTTTAGACATGGTAAAATGTCGCTTCTCTTCGACGGTTAGCCTCTGGGTGGTGGCTGTCTGTCCTAGATTCTGTGTACTAGATTAGCATGGAGAGACAAGCATGGGTGCAGTGCCCAGGGGTCTGTGAGTACCTCACGATATTAGGAAATGATTATGAAGAAATGTGGTTCAAATTTCAAACAAGCTGATTTTAAATTTGCTATTAAATAAGTTATACCAGAAGACAAACACAACAATGATCAATCTGTGTGATAATGAATAAAAGTAAAATGCATGCACCACAGGCTTGGAAAAGAACGGATAGGTTGACGTGCAAATCTTAAGCAAGACATTTTGCAACCGACTATAACGTGACACCGTAGGAGCCGTGTAGCAGCTCGGTCATGGCTCATATCATTGTTCAGAAGCAACAGGAATCGTCTGTTTTTCCAGTTCTGTCTGAAATCAAGACATGTGGGAGCGTGTGTCGGTTGTGTTTTCAAAGTGTTTACATCATGACTTTTATCCAATTCCCATCCTCTCTTTACATCTAAAGCTGAAATGCTGTCACACGTCAGCCTTCAGGACAGGGAGTGCCAGACCCATGTTATTGTTCCTGAGCTCTGGTTCAGCCATGTTTGCTCAAACACTCCAGTTTCGCGCTTCATTTGAAGCTAACATGATGCGCTGTCACATGTTATGTGCCATGACATCTCACTAACTGGTTGGTTCAATCGAGACCTTTGTTGCCAATATTGACTTTTAAATTATTAGTGGTTTTATAATCACTAAAAGACAGAAATCACCCCTACAAATTGAAATACTTTTGAGAACCTAATACAGAATGTAGATTTTTATCTGGACAAACCACTGTATGAGCTGCTGCCACCTAGTGACTGGAGGCTTGTTATCATTCAAGCATTACAGCGGTGGTACACGTTTGTCCATATGCGTGCTATATTCCAATGGAAGCCCCTCACGCCCCCCCCAGGGGGGCCCGCCCCATTATTTGAGAAGTACTGCATTACAGTGTTAGTTCATGTAAGGATGGTTTTTACTTACTTTCCGAAAAGGGTAAAAGCCGTTTGTCACATTCTTTAAAGTTTGAATACAGAAAGGATGCCAGCAAAAATCTCAGTTCGTGCAATTTACATTACACACGAGGTCCTCACCTAACGTCGGAATTCAGTTCCTAAAATGCAACGGAACTCGAATTTTGGAACTTGCGTACTACACATAAAAGGACATAAAACATCGGAAGACTCTGACCTATACTTGGCAGCCATAATGACGTCAAAAAGTTCCCAAACGAACACAATCCAATACAACCAGTAAATCTAACAAAGCCATCTTCCGCAGCTAGTGCCACGTGACCTCGTATTTGTCGACTCTCAATCTAGTTCCCGTGTGAAATTTGTTTAAATGCTGTACACTGGAATGACGGATTATGAGAGATCCCCTGTACTGAAAGAATATTGTCCAATTTCTTATTGTGTATGCTACGTACACAAGCTTTAACAGGACAAGTGTGGCGACTGAAAGAATATTATCCAATTTCATATTAATATGTATGCTACACACACAAGCTTTAACAGGACAAGTGTGGCGAAAACAGCAAATTATTTAAAAATAAAGACAGGCGGGTAAATGTGAGAAACAGATGAAGGGAAGGTGGAGACGAAAATACTCACCCTCCTCAATCAAGCTGCCAGGAAGAGGTTTACCTTTAAATATGGCTGCTGTTTTTCCAAACGAGGGACAGGGGAAAAAAATAAAACAGGAGAAGGAGACAAAGAGGGAGCGATTGTTCAAAAAAGGATTTTCAAGTGGGGGGAAAAGAAAGGCAAAGAAATTGGCAATGTTATATTGATATTCACTATGCACAAATTAACCCACTGCTGGTGGGCGGCTTTGAAATGAGTCACTGTGCTTCCAGGTTTATCCTCGCGGCTCATCTTTATAATCCCAGCCACGTAACGTGGCTTAGGCTGTTTGATCATTTCAAATAAAAGACGGAGAAGATGCCTAGACCAAGAGATCAAACACCGTGCCAGCTTTCATGTCATTATTTCTAACATAGATGCATATAATGAAGGAATGTCCAACCTCTGTCTTTGGCCTTGTCACTGAGCAGAACCTCCACCTCCTTGTGCTCTTTCAGCGCCTCCAGCAGGATGTTGCCCTCTTTGTGAAAGAGGAAGAGAAGAGGTAAGGTGATGTCCTCAGTGCTGCGACCGTCTCCTGCCATCTGAAACAGGGGAGCTGTGTCACTGCTGCTGCCCTCATTGTCGTCTGGAAGGAAAAAGAGCACAACAGAGGTATTAACTTACATAAATAACTGACAGACGGACAGCGACTGTAGGCCATCTATAGAGTAATAATCTTAAGGAAAAATCTTATCAGGAAAAACCTTGCATGAGGAAATATGTCTGGTACTTTTATGACGGCAAAAGCACTGAGAGATCATTTTTTATAGAGATAAAAAGCTTCCAACTTTGGCCATAAATCTGGCTTTCTCTGAACAGTTTTCCAAGATCTCTGAATCTGAAACGTCCTCGGTTTCCGACGGTGTTTTGTGGTTACGTCGCCATCTCTCATATATTCAATAAGTCTTGTTCGAAGCCGACAAACGCGTCATCATGTAGCGTTAAACATGGAAGACGGCTTTGTTTACATTCGCCCGTTTTACCCCGACACTGGCTTGTGCTACATTCGCTGTCTTTTGTTTGTGTTGTTTTTTTTTTGAGAACACGTCTGCGTAGGTTCTCAGTCAACCAGGTCATCCTATCCAAAAATAGTTACAGTTCTGAACTGAAGATGATGAGAGGTGAAACGTCTTCAAGAAACCTACTCCGTCCAGTTGCCCTCGATGGAACTATTTTTGGATTTTTTTCAGGAATGGGCTCATGATGGCTCCCAGGCATAAGTCAAGATCTTCTGATGTTTTTATGTCCCAGATTTTGATGTTACCACTGTGTTAGCATAGGTGACGGACCTAAATACTTATGTAGAGTATGTTGGTTCCATCTTAGGGCGAAAATCGAGCAACTACCGTTACTCTGCAGTAGCGGTAGTCTGATGTAAGTTGAGGACTCCCAGTGTACTATAAACATCACGTTTTTCATGACCTTTTGTTGACATCTGTTTCTGAATAATTAAGAGTACTTCAGGGACAGTCCAAATTCCTGTGCGCTCCCAGCTGCTGTCACTCACCGATGACTATGCCTCCAATGGCCCCAGCCATTTGAATGTGTCGAGCCTTTTCTGCAAACATGCACTGTCCCCTCTGAAGAAGAGCGATGTGGCCCTGGACATCCTTGGGATTTGTGATCGCCGTGCAGCCACTGTACGGTTCGGCTACAGTCACAAAACCTCGTACCTGATCACAGGAGAAATTATTGATTTTAATAAAAATAAAAGAATCAACTGGGCTTTCACAAAAGGCTCATGTTTAAGGGCAGGGTTAGAAAAACTCATTTACCCCAGTGGAGCTTTTGGACAGGTCTGTGCCAAACTGTGCCGGGCCGGCAGTCAGAACAACTCTACCAAAGAAGGGATGGGAGACAATCTGAACGGCTCTGGGCGGCAGCTGCTCTTTCTGCTGCTGGCTGGATAGCTCCATCATCTCCTGCATGAAACGCACGCCATCCTCTGCTGCTACGGCACTCACCGCCTGAGTTTGGGTCACAGAGGAAGAGAGAAATATAAAAAATTAAAGCTGCAAGAATGACAAAACACAGGGTTAGGTTGTCAATATTCTCTTCATATCGTATCATGTAATAATGTCAGAAATATGGGGTTTTACTTTATTATTTATAATATAGTATTTCATTTTAAGAAATAATTTGAGGTATTTTTACACAATTTTGAAACGGGGAAAAAACTGAAATGTTTTGTTTCAACAGCTATTTTCAAATAATTTACATACTCATATATATAATATACATATATACATATAATTTAGAGTCAACTTTCAACAGCATACATTTAAACACAAGCATGAGTATGTAAGTCCCACGGGAAAACTTAAATTATTAGGACAGGTGAATTTAACAGGAACAAATAAAATTATACATATATACATACATATATACACATACATATATGCACACACATACATGTACATTTATGTGTACGTATATATGTGTACGTATATACGTACGTATATACTGTATGTGTACATATATGTACGTATATACGTGTACATATACACACACATGTACATACATGTACACATATACATGTACATATATACACACATATATACAAATATACACACACATATAATATATATATGAAAAAATCTCATATTTTTAGTTGTTTTTTTTTGGCTTCTCTGCTTCTTCTTTGTTTGTACCTGAGTGGCATGTTGCACCAGCTGCACCCTGCCATCTTTCAGGTGGATGAGACTGACTCCCATCCTCCTAAGCAGCTCCAGATGTTCCGGGTTGTTTGCCATGAAGTCTTGAGCCCTCAGAGGAGGACGACCAATGCCAGGCTCCCTGTGAAAAATGTACAGAGCAAAAAACGAATGATGAATGATTTTTTTTTTTTATTTTAAAAAGCCTAGCAGATATAAATGAGTGACTGTAGTCTTTGGTATACCTATTAGGAGAAGGACGTGGGCAGCTCTTGTCCACAGCACTTCGGATTGGTTCTCTCAGGTTGCGAGGGTAGGAAGGGTCCGGGAAGAGCAAACGGGTGTCAGGACAGGTCCAGTCATAGTTAGAGTCATCCAGCTCTTCCTCTGACTGTAATGTCAAATTGATTTTGTTATATATACACAGGACATCATCTTTTATGGTACCATTGTCAGCATGCACCTGTGTCACCCGGCCTACCGTTCGGTTCGAGGGGACAAATGAAGAGTAAGAGGATGCGGAGAGGGACAGGGGGAGCAGGTGTGCCTCAGTTGTGAAAACATAATCCTCCACGTCAAAGGGTAGGTCCTCTGACTCGGCAAAGAGCAGGAAGAGGTATTTGAACATCTCAGCGAGAAAGAACGAGTCCATTCTAAATGAAAAACAGAGAGTGCGTTTTTGCATGAGGCACACACTCTGTTCACTTCAATGTCCTTCATAAAACGCGTTACTGTGTAAGATGTCTTCATTTTCTCACCTATCTTCGTGACTCCCTGTACGCACATCCTTCATTGCAGCAAAGCCGCAGGGCACACGGGCAAAGCGATTGAGGTTCTCCAGAATAGTGCGACCTGCCTCAAGGTAATAGGGGTCTTCTGTGGCCTAATAAAAAAAAAAAAAGTATAGTGGTCAGTCCATCTAAGTAGCAATGTAATATTGACAGATATGTGTGACAAATGTGATTAATGTGGAAAAAAACTATTATCTCTTAGAATTTTAAAAAAAGGTCATTATTGGATTATTAAAAATGTATATGTATTTTATTCGCTATTGGCTAAAGCCTGCCAATTGTAGTTAAAAAAAACACTAGTATTGATGTACCTTAATTATGTAGTAAAGCGAAATGACTCGCTTGCAGTGCATTCCAATAGACTTTTACTTTGTGTGCTGTCAAGGGTGCTTGAGAAACTACCTTGTAGAGGAAATAGGTGCTCTCTGCAAACTCAGGTCTCAGGGGATGCTGAGCCCAGTGAACCCTGAAATCAGTAGTGAAGGCCTGTGGGTGGACAGAGAGCGGGTCAGGACACGATCTCGAAGTGTTGTAATGAGAACAGAAAAGGCCCAGATGAAATCCGTACTGCCACAAAAGTCAGGCTGTGTTGGTTCTGAATTGATAAAGTGGCCCCGAACAATGTCTTGGAACATATAGAGTATCGTCATTGGGTTATATTCACAACAAATTGTACGTTGTACGGGTAACTAAGAATTCGGTTCTTACCGCGTGATGTAAAGTCAGAACTCACATACTGTACGTAAATAGTACATAAATACTTATTACTTAAATCATAATCTCGGACATAAAAGCATCAGAAGAATCCAATGTATGCCTGGGAGCCATAATGAAGGGCAAAAAGCTCCCCAAAGAAAACAACACATACAAAACACAGCTAATGTAGCCCAATCCAACGTATGGCGTACAACCAGTGAATGTACAATAAGCCGTCTTCTGCGTCTAGCGCCTTGTGATGAGGTATTCATCCGCTCGGCTCGCCAACTAGTTCCCATGGGAAATTAATTTTAACGTAGATCGGAAATGATGGAAAGACTTCGTGAATTAATTAATGGGAGATGGTGACATAACCACAGAATAATGTAGGTGAATGTTGTCTTTTTTTTAATAGCTGGGTAGCTAACAATTAGGGTAAGGCTTAGACTAGAAATCCAATTCAACATTATTTTATTTACCCAGAGACATGTGACGATGTGGAGCAGGCAGCACATTGGTTAGTTTTTGTTAAACGCACAAACACAGACGGATTACCTCTGGGAGGAAATTGTGTTTTTTGGTAACTTGGTACAACATCTCATGGGTCTCAATAGCAGGGCGGATATCTCCCTTTAGTACCTGGGAGACAAACAATATAAATTGTACAACAGACACTAGGGACACCACAGGATTTGGCAAAGCATTCAGTTAAGATGCAACGTTCACCTGCAGACCGGGAAAAAAAGCGAGCAGAGAGTCCATCCAGGTGCGCGCGGGAAGCAGAGGTTTGTGTATATGGACGTCCAGAAGCAGAGGAGGTTGGCTGATGTACTTCATTATGGATTCATAGTGCTAAATAGACAGGAGAGGAACGGACAGTGTTTTTAACAGGCACGGAAAATCACTTTTTTTTTCTTTTCTACAGTCACATTTAGTATTGAGAAAATCGAGAGCTCTGGTCTCATGTACAAATAGAAAGTTGAAATTCTATCTGTTTTTGTTCCGTTTTGTTTTTTTGTTCTCCCACTGCAGTTCAATAGCTCACTGTCTCCATTGAGAGTTCATTCAAGTGGGTCAACAATGTTAATAGGTGGTTATATAACATTATTTATATTTTTCTTTTTATTTATAGTTATATTTTAACATGAGTTACATAGACAGGAGAAAGGCTTGGTGTTTTGACACACGCAAGGTATTAAAAAAAAAAAAATCTAAAAAAGCACCTTAACCTGGAATATGCTAATGTCTCCTCTTAGTATACCAGCACCTCCTGGTACACAAGCGACACCCTGGGTGCGCCGACACTGCCTAACACAGAGAGCGAAACACGACTCCACCTTTGTAAAGAACCACTAAATACAAGTCACGTTTGGATATGATGGGGAAATAGGGTAAATTATGAATTTTTGAAAATGTCATTTTATGTGTATAATTGAAATTCAATAAAAACATTTGTGTGACTGGTTGATTTTACTGTTTTAAATTTTGTTTAAATTTGGAATTTGTATTTATCTATAAGTCAATAATATATTGAGTTAAGAGAAAAGGTTTTACAAATATGGTGGAATCCAGGATTGCACTTCAATGTTTAACCTAAATATGATCGACTGAAAATTGATAAAAATTCTAAAAAGAAACAAAAATACAATGGTCAAACTTGTAAATGTAAACGCAGTTGTTATTTGTATTTTTAAGGCGTCAGATTACTCCACTGTTTGTGTGTGTGATCAGGTGTGTGTGCGCTCACAATATTGAACCGCTGCAAAAACAGGTCATCGCCTAAAAGGATGTAGGCCTTAAGTAGATATTCATAGTATGAGTCAATGCCGGCCCCAACTCCACTGTCTGTAGGCACACAAACAGTCACCGTTAAAGTACATCGTACAAGAAAAATACATGAAAAATATTCTACATTTTAACTTCATTGAACAATATTTTTTACCTCTGACATTTGTTGGTAAAATACCGTAACACTATTGCATACCATCCCTGTTTCCCCGTTCTCTTACCTCTTCTCACCCACTCTCCATTGTGGATGTTGATGGTGGTCCCAACCAGGTTACTGTTTCGCTGTCTCTTCTCCCATAGAAAGTCCATCGCCCGTCGAGCATGGGCCTGTGCGGGCCAAAGTGTTCACATGATTAAAAAAGTAAAAAATAAAAATAAATAAATAAATCGATCTTCAGCAGCTGTCTGCTGTTTGAATTGATGCACTTAATATTACTGAGTTAGTGGAATTTTAAATAAGGGTATAGAGGTTTATTTTCACATGTGGACTTATTATTATTATTATTATTATTATTCCCTACGTGTTGCCATTACTCGATGATTACTTTATTCTCTTTTCAGCTCAATGAGTCAGTTGTGTCAAGATGTCGTTATTATTGGCGTAATTGTCTTTTCAGCTCAATGAGTCAGTTGTCTTAAGATGTCGTTATTATTGGCGTAATTGTTACAGTTGCAGTTATTATTAATGTGACTGTGCGGTTGCTGCGAATGTTGTTGGTATTATATTAGTATTAGTTTTTAGTTACAGCAGCAACAAAATAGAGAACTGTTAGCCAACAGTCAGAAATGTCCACCGGCTGCTTTAAGACTGCGCCTTAAGTTTATGTTTAACCGGTGTTTGTTTGTTTGTTTGTTTTTAGTGTGCAGACTAACAGTACTGCCAACAACCCGAACTGAAAAGACTCAAGTGAACCAGATAAACTTGTGACTCAGAGTAACCCAAGTCAATACGTTTATCAACACTTTCAGAGATAAAACCCAAAGTACTTTCAGTGGGAATTATCACTGAAATCCAATACAACTTTGATGGCAGAAACCCACTTTAAAAATAACCTATTTTTGACTGGCGTTCGCAAAGCGAATATTATTGCACTGACTTTTCCATAAAGGTGCACAATTTTAGGGATTTATTCTCGAAATTCGGGTATGATGATATGATTAATCGCAATTAATCGTTTAGTTCTCAGTGTTATATAGAATTAAGTTAAGCTGTAATCAGCCATCTTGGGTGAGACTGGTGTTAGAAACCAGTTGTATTGTTCAAGTCACACTGACAAAGACATCCAGTCCATGAGCCAAAAAAAAAACAAACTCTTACACAACAAAGTGCGTGCATATATAATTACTGTACTTCTAACAACCAGTCTGACAAAGTCTCATCACTCAACAGTTCCATTCCTACAAATAGTTCATATTTACAGGTCCGTCTCTGTCACTCTCTCCCTCTCTCACCGACTTTCTTTTTTTTTTTTTTTTCCTTCTTCCAATCATTTCCATTGTTTAGGAATAAAATTATTAATGGACACTCTGAAATGAAAAGACAAAGGGTAACCTGGACTAAAGGCAGCTTGAGGCACCACAAGCCAGCTACAGGGCGTGACTACAGTATCATACCTGCGACACCTTTTGTGGTGATCGGTAAATATGTTTCATCATAGAGGATCATTTAAACCAGGGTGTCAAACATACGGCCTGCGGGCCAAAACTGGCCCGCTTGGGGTTTCACTCAGGCTCGCTTAATGAATTTTGAAGGTGAAAAAAAAAAAGCACAAATACTTCATGTTCAGGAAATATTTTGTAAAACTATACATCATTGAATATTAAGACTTAGCTAATGTACTTTTCTGCATGAAAACAAATTATTGTATACTTATTTGTATACTATATTTAGATTTTTCCGCTTAGAAAAAAGCCCTGTAAAAATAAATAAAAAAATAATAATATTTAAAAAAATTTAAAAAGCCAAAACAAAACTTGACCACAAGTGGCATCAACATTTCCATACAACAATGGGAAGACGATTGGAAAATGTTCGCACCTCAAAAACCGGATCCCCTGTGAAGCGACTCAGGGCAGCAAACTCCAGGATCATCGTTCCTGCACATGCCGTACAAGTCTCCGTCTCTGTGCCCGTTCTCGTTTCAGGACCTCTGACACCATACTTTAAATTGACCTGTTAGACAGGTATAAACACATATGTAATCTACGTCATGTACATTGTTTTTCAATGTTTTAGGAGATATTTTAAAAGAAAAAAAATATATATATATATTTTCCCAATGTTTTAGGACATATTTAAAAAGAAAAAAATTATATATAAACTATTTTACATTTTAATGTTAACATTAATTAGCCTGAAAATGGCAAAAAAAAATTAAAAACTGAATCTGCATGACTATTTTACATTTAAATGTTAACATGAATTAACCTGAAAATGGCAAAAAAAATTAAAAACTGAATCTGCATGTGAAACCCACCCGGGGATATGGCAGACCACTGCTGGTGTTGAAAGCTGGCAGCAGACGCAGACCTATGTCTTTGGCCATATGCAGAAGCTCGTCCTGGTACCACTGCATGTGCTGACCTGCGTCCTTTAGCATCACAGCCATGGAGTGTCCTCCCAAAAGTCCTCTAAAATAGACATGCAGCACACAATAATATTAAGCTTCTGTGCGACGAGGTCATGTTTTCGAAGCCTTTGCATTCCAAACTTACCCCAGGACACGAATGTTCGTTTCAAAGACAGACACAACAATGTCATTGTCCAGCCTCACGTCCGACAGGACTCTCCTCACCGCATCCTCAAACTCTGTCGTCTTATTTAAAAGCTTTTAAAAAAAAGAATGTAAACATATGTAGAACAATTAACAACACACTTAGTTTTAAAAAACTGAAGTAAAAGAAAAAAATTCTACTTACCACCAGGGTATCCAGGGTATCTATAAGGGTCAGGGAGAACCTAGCATATAAACCATAAGAAACATTAGTTAACAAGTACAAGAACCACATGCACTCAACTTTTCCGTCTTTCAGAAATTAGAAGACGTTCAGGTTTAGTCATGCATGTGCATTGGTATTAAATCAAATATTGATAACTTTAGAATGTAAAAAAAAGCACAAGAAATGAAGGCATAACCACACTAACTTTCCCAGCGCATCGTCCACGTCACCACGACTGGGTTCAAGCCCACGTACTCTTCCTCTGCATGTGAGGGGCATCAGTTCATCTGCTGGGTATGCATGATCCTGCAAAAAACACAAACATCGCCATTTTTACTTGTTCTTTCAGTCAGATGATATGAGCACAGGAGGTGTGATGTGTGTGAGATGTATGATCATCTGGTTGTTATTGTGAACTTACCATGTAATTTTGATAGGCATGGTCGAACATCTCAACCACTTGGCTCCTACGGAGTAGAAAGGAAAACACACAGTGATAATCAGGTGTTACTTACTTACAGGTACAGGTGTCATAGTTTTATGTGTGCGTGACATCTCACCTTAATCGTCGCTTTTCCTCTCGAGACATGGCCTGCCCCAGACTGGCAATGGCTCCAGACAGCATCAGTAAAAGCAGGACTGGTGGCATGATTGTGTGCAGGCACGATCTTACACTAAAGCGTAGCTTGAAATATGTGTGCACTACCTACTCATTACCACGGCTGAACTATATTAACGAGCAACAAAAGCTTCATACTAATTTGTTCACCTTTTCTAACCTATACTTAATGCAACTGACCCAGTTGAAAAATTCAGACAATTACACATTTTGGCGTGTTTGATCGCACTGCAGCCATTCTTTTACACAGAATTTTTATTTATACGTTTCTAAATATGCAAGCCCTAAAGACTCGTACCTTCAATAAAGCCCGAGCAAACTCCAAACTTAAACAAACCTATATTCTATTTACGGTATTGCACATATTTACATTGGACACGACCCCTGTACATAACTTAATAACATACACTATCATATTATTTAGGTCAAAAATTCACCTCTGACACTGCATCTCTGTCGCTCAGCTAGGACCTTAAAGCATCCACACAGTGTAGTGAAAGTCGTGTTCAAGTAAATGGATGATGACTGATACCAGCAGAACAATCATGTAACCCAGGATGCTCTGCCGCACCTGTTTGCTTTATCACGCTCTCACCCGGACCTAGTCCATCCCAGACGTGTGACACGCTGTCACGCCAAACCACTCATAATTTACAAGCAAACGGGGACGCATCCGTTGAATCAAACAAATCACAACTGCGACGTGGATACGAGAGACCGCGATGCGTGTCTACCAAAGACCATGACTGTCTTGTGTAGTTTTTTCCCGATGTAAACGCAGGCTCACACTGCAAAACTGCAAAAGTTATAAACCAAAGTGCACACCGACGTGTGTTGTGTGGCCTTGTCTAAGTGCGATCATCCCAGTCTCCTGCTTATTGACCCTTATCGTCTAGATAAGTCAATTAAAAGTAGAGACGCTTGATGAAGTTCCATGTTATATTAGTCCCGTTCCCGGTCTGTTCTGTCCTTCCGTTGGGATAAAACACAATTTTTAAAAAAATATATAAAGGTAACTATTTCCTCCTATGAGCAGATTCGCCTCTTTAAACAAGCAGCCCAGCACTTGTCTGTGTTTAATGGCTCTGTAAACAGTACTAAGTACTTACTAACCGAGATGCTGCCCACGAACACGCACAGAACATGGGGCCAATTGGCAGAACCGGTGACCGCCGACGGACCCGGTCTCCTTCTTAGTGTCGTCCTTTTAGGCGAAAGCCGTAACTATTTCACCGTAGGCGTCGGTTTAGACAAGCTAGTCAGCTCTCAATTCCGGATCCTACTGCAGCGATAACGTCAACAACATCCGCTTCCGGTTATGAACATTCATATGTCCCTGTGCTTTGTATTTCAGGCTGCTATAGCATTAACTCGCTTAATTTTGATGAGGCAATGACAATTGCACTAAATTACCTATACGTTTAATTTAAATATATATGTATAAAATACTGAAAAAAATTACGCGTTTACGTTGTCGCGTCGAGAAATAAGCGATGCCTACAAGTCTAAACTCGGGAATCCAAATGCCTTTTTGTAATGTTGCCTTCAGAATGGTTGGGAAATATATTTAGCGCCTCCTATGTACATTTAATCGTTAAAGATTAAATGTGTCGACAGCGGTAATTTATAACATTTATCATGTTTTTTTTTTTTCTTAAAAAGCACGGATATCATGGATGCATCATGGTCATAGAAATAATTATCTTGCAAAGCATGGATATCATCGATGCATCATGGTCATAGAAATAATTATCTTTAAGATGTAGATCGGTCTCTGACTCTTTTTCTATTTATACTCGGAACACCTGTTTTAATATTAGAAAAGGTCATATGCGGCCATGCGTTACAACAGATGTTTAAGAAACTATGTATGTTTTGCAACTTGCGGTTTTAGCGTGACGATTTACATTTCCCATCCATGCATCGCACTGTCACTTCTGTTAAGCCACATAAGTTCACTCTGCCGTCGTCACGCTGGGTGTTGTCTAATACAAACTTTAAAATCGTTTTTCCCGTTTATGCGGGTCAAGCTGTTTAATGTGAAATAGATGGAAACGTCAACATCTAGATGTCTCATTGATGGTGAAGACTACTGTAGGAGTTGTTCTGTTGCAATGCAAGCAATTTAATAACACACCCGAAGACGCACCATGGCACCGAGTTTAAACCTCATCAATTCATTTTTATGTTGACACCTATTAACCAACAGTTTATTGAAACAAGGAAACAAGTGCTACTGCTTTGGTAACTGGGAAAGCAGCAGAAGTTGTAATTGAAATACAATAGCGGTGTGAAAGCTTGGCTCACTTCCTGTTCAGTTCTCTGTTAACTATGCAATAAAAAAATGTAATCGTTAGTTTTATCAATGTTTTGCCTAACGTGACATTTAGAACAGGTCAATTTGCATAGCTTTGACTAGAAACAACATTCTGTTAATGAGAAGAAAATAAAAATGGTCTGTGAGCATCTGATAGATGTCCTCACAGTAATCCGAGTTGAGCTGGCATTTTCACTACACTTCAACCCATTTGCCTACAGAGCTGTAAACGTTTCCAATTCATTGCACATTTATTGTAGCCCATCCTACTAGACTGTCAAAGTACTCAGTATGGGCAACAACAAATGAAACACAAATGAAAATACTTGTTCTCTATCAGTTTTGTAAAAAATAAAAATAAAAAAAATAGGCAAACCCTTTTTGTAATGTTCAAAGTAACTCAGTAACTAATATACAACTTAATGAAAACAATTATTTTCACCAAATATGGAAAAATATGTCAAGAGGTAATGGTCTTTCTAGGGATGTCCGATATTAACTTTTATGTTCAAAGTAACTCAGTAACTAATATACAACTTAATGAAAACAATTATTTTCACCAAATATGGAAAAATATGTCAAGAGGTAATGGTCTTTCTAGGGATGTCCGATATTAACTTTTCGCCGATATCCGATATGCAGATATTGTCCAAACAATTTTTAGGTCACATCCTCTGGGCCAAACCCAGACATTGCGTTATTGGGTTTTTATTATCGGAGGAAAACCCGATGACAATTCTTACCGGTATTACGTAATTATATGCATGTCGACCGATATTATCGGACATCCCTATCTTTTTCAATAGAACAGGAAGGCTATTTTTGTAATTCCCAATCTTTTTGAGAATAATAAAAGATCGAGCTAAGCTGGACATGACAATAACAGGTAGACGCTGCCTGTTGGACCATACAATGTGTGCCTGGTTTTTGGCAAATGTCACTGCTATTAATTGTTTTGATGATATAACTTACGGTTCATGGAATACAGATATAACTTTGACCAACCACCACATTGTTTTACCTTTGTTTGGCCACTTGGTGGTTTATTCATGACTTTATCGCATATATATTTACACAAAAACAAATGGAATTGTGAACAAGCACCCAATCAAACATACAGTTTTGCATGAATTAAAGGTCGTGGTTTGCTTACATTATGTACAGGTTCAGAAAAATAAGCATATTTTGACATATTTTCAGTCTGTAGCAAACAGCGATCTGTCAAAGCGACTACAGTGTTGCTACAAAGTTATTCAACTTCAGCTACATGAGACACCTCCACCTCCATGGTCTGAATCACCTCAGGTGTTTCGTCGAGCTTGGGTCCCGTAATTGCCTGTTGGGCGAGGACATAGTTCACGACTTGCATGATGCCCTGATCCGACAGTGTGGACATTGAGCCGTCGCCAACGGCCTGGACGGCCTCCACGGCTTCCACGGTCTCGTCTGTGATCAGCACTGTCTCTATTTCCTCTGAGAGAGGTTGCTGGGCAGGTCGGAGCTCAGGAGGCAGGTCAGATGCCAGGATGCTGACGGCGTGCTCCACCTGCGTGCCCTGGTTGTGAAACTGTAGTGTGTCTTTATCCAGCATTATCTTGCTGGGCAGGCTGTCGCTGTGGTACTTGGCCATGTGTTTGCGCAGCGTACGTGCGTCAATGTGAGCATCCTGGCACACAGGGCAAACGTAGGGCCTCTCTCCTGTGTGCGTACGGACGTGACGTTTCAGAGAGCGGGCGTCGGCCCACGCCACGCCACAAGTTAGACATTCAAATGGCTTCACTCCTGAGGAGTAAAGGAAAGAAAAAACAATTAGCATCAAATTAAACACGTAATACCAATGTATTTTATCACTTTTAATATATTTGTCATATTTCATGTTTTTAGAAAACTACAGGCTAATTTTGAAGGATCCTTTAAACCAGGAATTTCACTCCTTTGAACACTAACGTTGAATCAAACGGCCCCAACGCTGAATATTTCACCTAATATGAAACATTCCCTTTAGATATTAAGATATAAAATAAATAGTAACATGTCAAGTGGCATGAGATAACTGCTGTAAGATATAAACAAGAAAATAAATATGGTACAGGAGTCTCACCCTGGTGGTTGTTGATGTGGCGCCTGTACTCTCGCAGCTGGGTAAATTTTCTTCCACACTGCTCACACTCTCTCTCCAGGTTCTGTTTGACTCGGCCCTTCTTCCCATGTGTGGCCTTCTTCATGTGTCTCCTGAACAAGGCCTTCTCATAGAACTCTTTCACGCACACGTTACACCAAAAGACACAAACAAACAACATATTAGTCCTGAACTAGAGTCATGTCCACTATTTTGTGTAAACAGTGGAGACACTTGGACAGTATCATTGGATTCGCCTTCCATTGGGCTGCTTTAAAATTAGGCCAACAGACCAACAACATTCATCGGACTCGAAGGAAGTAAAGTGAACCACATGTCATTACAGACCAACAACATTCATCGGACTTGAAGGAAGTAAAGTGAACCACATGTCATTGTGACACAGCACACACCACTGCACAAATGTGACCTCTGCTTTTAACCCATCACCAAAGTGAGCAGCTGTGCGGGGACGGTGCCAAGCTGGTGGACTCGAACCTGACAACCTTCCGGCTCCAAGCTCTACTCCCAAAAAAGGTAAATGTTGAAAAAGCTGTTCGACACTTACTTGAAAGGCTCAGCAACACTGTGGGACTTCACGTGTGAGTACCAGTCCTTCTTCCAGCTGTAGCACCTCCCACACACCTGACACTGGAAAGGCTTCAGGCCCATGTGTTTGTTCATGTGCTGCTGGAGATCTTTCAGTTCAAAGAATCTCTTATCGCAACTGCGGGACACACAAAAAGGAGTAAGCCGCATGTAGATTCTCGTCATATACGATATGCCACATATGCAGACATGAAGACTGAGTAGCACTTACTGAGCGCAGCCAAACGGACGGACGTCTGGTTTGGGCTGGTGCTTCTTCATGTGTTTGCTCAGAGCCGAGGCTCGATGGAAAGTTGCTCCACACGTGTTGCAGAGGTACTTAGATTCACCTAAAGATCGAAATTGGAAAAAAAAGAAAAAGAGGGGGAAATTCTTAGTAATGTCATACTGTTTGCTGGCTAAATATATGTGCAAAAGCTGACCATTCAAGGAAGTGAATTAATACTGCAGCTTTCAAAGCATCTCTGAACCTACTGTCAATCACGTTAAGTAATATTTTGCTGTTATCGGAAAGTTATTACTAATTTGTTTTTGGCATTTCTTGCTACCATAATCCTAACCCAAATAATTCAATTGTATATATTTTAGGAACGTACATGTCAACTATTAAAATCCCTGATACATGTTGCAATGTTGCACTAAATTGCCATGCATTGTCTCATGGAAGAAAAAAACAAATGCTATAATCATTAAAGCACCAGATGGAACAAAATGAAACTGCTTTTCAAAGCTTTCAAAGCCACAGAATTGTCATTCCATATGATTCCTGTAACAAATATGGACTAATATTGAAAGTCTTCTTTTTCTTTCGGCTTTGTCCCTTTTTTCAGGGGTTGCCACAGTAAATCATTGATTTCCATCTCCCCCTGTCCTCTGCATCTTCTACTCTGACTCCAACTATCTGCATGTCCTCCCTCACTGCATCCATATATCTCCTCTTCTTCTCCTACCTGGTAGCTCCATCTCTAACATTCTTCTACCAATGTATCCACTGCCCCTCCTCTGCACATGTCCAAACCATCTCAATCTGGCTTCTCTAGCTTGTTCTCCAAACCTTCCTGTCTGTGTTGTTCCTCTAATGACTTCATCCCTGATCCTGTCCATTCTTGTCACTCCTAAAGAGAATCTCAGCATCTTTAACTCTGCCACCTCCAGCTCCGCCTCCCGTCTTCTGCCTATTGCTACCGTCTCTAAACCATACATCATGGCTGGGCTCACCACCGTCCTGTAAACCTTTCCCTTCACCTCAGCTGACACTCTTCTGTCACAGATCACTCCTGACACCTTTCTCCGGCTGTTCCATCCTGCCTGTACTCTATTCTTCACCTCTCTTCCACAGTCAACCACCTCTGCTCCTTGTAGCCTCACTATTTCACTGTTCTCCCTTTCGTTTTCACACACGCACTCTGTCTTGCTGCGGCTGACCTTCATTCCTCTAGTGCAAACCTCCACCTCAAACTAATATTGACAGTGCTGTCAACTATTTTTCCCTTGACTGCGTTGCAAAATTTCACATTAAAATTCTAAAAATCCCCGCAAGAGCGAGGAGACATGTTATAAACACTTACTATCACTATAAAACAAAAGTATTAAAACAAAATTGCCATTTTAAATAACTGATTGATCAACAAAGTTTTTTTTTGTTTTTTTTTTAAACTACGTCTACGTCTGACAAGCTGACTGGATTGGAATGAATGGATTGTGAAGGAGTGCAGACTAAATAATATCCATCCATCCATCATAAACCGCTTATCCTAAATAATAATGTAATAAAAGGTAATACAATTTTCAAAGCAATTCTCATTCTACAAGCCATTGTAAAGATGCTGAGTAATCACTAAAATCCATGAAAATTTTTAAACTAAATTTTAAGTTACATTTCTGCATATTTTCTTGACATCTTTCCACATTAACAATTCCATCTTTTGGATTAATCACAAATAAAAACAAGTGTAAAACACATGCATCTCCCTGCTGTAATATATTTTTTGTCTGCAATATACAGAATTTTTCTTTTTGGCATATTTGATTTTTTTCTTCTCCATCAATCGTTAGTTAATGTCATGATTAGTTGTAGTTGATTGGACTGATCCACAATTAGCCTGTGATTAATTCGACTTAAAATGTCCTTTTTTTGAGGAATGGTGTTTATTCCAACCTGTCCCTAAAACAGATTTTTAACAGGATATTATTAAAAAGTATACTTTTGAATCCCCGGTGTACATGTACCTGAGATCCACAATTAGGCTGTGATTAATGATTTATGTCCCTAAAACAGATTTTTATCAGGATAAAAAGTCGCTCATTAAAAAGTATATTTTTGAATCCCCGGTGTACATGTACCTGTGTGAAGACTGGTGTGTTCCTCCATGTTTCTCTTGCTCACGAAGTACTTCTGACACAGTTTACACTGGAACTGTTTGGTGACATCGTGCAGTGCCCTGTGCATCTTCAGGCTGTGTTTGTGGGTGAAGGTTTTTCCACAGACCTTACAGGAGTGGGGGCGTACACCTGTGTGACTTAACATGTGGATCCTCAGGGAGTACAGCTTTGGTAAGGTCTTTCCACAGATGTCACACACAAACTCTCTCCTGGTGTGCGCTGACGATTTCTTGTCTTCCAGGTGGCCCGCCTTCCCCTCGGAGTTCAGACCCACTGAGGGTTTGCCGATCGGAGCTCGATGGATGCTCTGCTGCTTATGTCGAGCCAGGTGGGCGCGGAGTGAGGCAGCATACTGGAACTCCTTACTGCAAAGCTAGAAGGACAGCAACAGTGAGGTGAGAGGCAGCTCATGTTAATTTTTTAAAAAACAATGGCTGGTTAGGGGTCACTCCAAATACTTACGCTACATTGGTAGCCACGAGATTTCTCATGTTTTAGCGAATGCATAATGAGGGAGTAGCGTCGTTGGAAGGACATGCCACACTCTGAGCAGGTGTGCTTGCCTTCAGCGCTAGCGTCTTCTGCTGGGGAGTCATCAGGGCTCTTATCCGGCTTTACTACATCATCTTCAACCGTCACATCTCCTGCTGCTGCTGGGTCTTCCGTCATGATGGTCTCAGCTTCTGCTCCTGATTCGGAGCAAAGTACTTCCACGGGTTGCTTTGGTGGTCTTCCTCTCTTTCCAGGCTTGGTGCCAACCTAAAAACATATCCCACATAATATTTTGATATTACATCCCTATTTTAAGAATGATATTTGAATTTCAGTTAAAAGTGTAGTTTACATCTAATAAACAGTGTGTTTTTAGTAAACAACATACCTTTGCAGGTGCGGTTCGTAAAGGGCTCGTGCCCATCTTTGCCTCCTCTTCGTTCTCCAGTCCCATATGAAGACGGACATAACCTCCCTCACCAATGGAACGCTGCCGAAGTCGTCTTCTGTTTGGGTCATCTGATGCCATTTCCTGCTTGTCTGCAAGGCTTTCATCAAAGGCAGGACCTTCCTCTTCTGCGAGTGGTACAACCTCTTCCATCTCCACCGGCTTCTTCACCTTGGCCGGCCGACCGCGTTTGCGTTTTTGAGGCGCGGGTGCTACATCTGGTGTGTTTGGTGGCAATACGGATGTTTCAGCAGCTACGGATTCCACTTTAGTGACGTCTGGGGGGTTTGTTTCGTTTAGGTCAACGTCAATTACGGACGCTTCACCTTCAGCTGTCTGCGGTTGCTCCATGGCAAGGCAGGCGGACACCACAGCAAGGGACTCACTGGCTCCGGCCTGTCCACTGTGGGTGACCACCGTCATCGTCTCACCTTCCATTCCTTCTGTGCTGTGTGAGATAAGAGTAACAGTCTCTCCTGGCTTAACATGCTCACTGGGAGCAATAAGAGTCACTGTTTCGCTCTCGTCCTCCTCTCCTCTATGCACATGGACTCCCTCTACAGCTTCAGCAATAAATGCAAGCGGTTGCTCAATGAAACCTTTGCCCGAAGATTCAACAAAAGCCAAGGCTTCACCCGCTACCACTGCAGCACTCTGGGTCAGCACGTTGCTGCCGTCACTATGTATTGCCACCATGTATTCCCCAGACTCATTCTTAACTTCGTCCTGGGAGGACATGTGGGTTGACACTACAGTGTGCACGTCCCCTTTTTGATACACTGTCAACTTTTGTTCTTCCACTTGCTTGTGCACAGACTCACATATCTGCAGAACCTCGGTCATCAGCAAATGTCGGGCAAGGGTGGCAATATCTGCCATGACGCAGAAATTAAAAGTGAGGGTGGAAGTGTATGCAAACTCAAGCAGTGGCAGGAAAGAGGTTTTACTGAAACCTGTGGAAAGAATCCTGGAGGTTAAAACACAGCAACGGAATAAACACATTGTTTAAAAAAAAAACAAAATAAGTAGAACTCACAGCTAAGGTCAACCACAGCTTCATGTGTAGATGCAGCTCCCTTCTCAAAAAAGAGTTCATGAAAGTATTCGCTGCATGCTGCCAGAACAGCTTTGTGTGCTCGGAACTCCTCTCCTTCAATGAGCAGCGTGATGTCACAGTATTGATTATTCAGGCGTTGTTGGTTGAGTTTGTCCAACAGCGTCTGACTATGTTTGGACAAAAACTGATTCACCTCGCCCTTGCTGTCTACCTGCAAAAGCACATGCAACATTGATGGTCAAAAACTCAAAACTGGATGAAAGTAAATGCTAAGCATTCTACATAATAACCATAAACCCAATACTTACAAAGACTAGTTCATGCTTGGACATGTTGGATTTTTGATGAGAAGATGTCTCCAATCCGAATAAGGATTCGTCTTTGTCTTCGTCATCTTCTTCTTCCTCCTCTTCTTCATCATTGATGACAACACCTCCTTTAGCTCTCTTTGGCTGGGAAAACAGTCGACTTCCATCATCTGCAATCCGCTTTGTCTGACATTGGACACACTGTTTAATGTGGTCTTTAACTTGCTTCAGGATACCTGATACAGAACAAAATGACAAATCATTAAGTTTAACTGTACATAGCACTTGTATGTTAAAGTATCAATTACGGTAGAAGAAAACAGACACTAACGTCTCACATTTATTACTATGTAAATATTTTGGTGTGTAAACTTCTACCAGTATATACCATAGTCTACACAAACAGAATTAATAAAACAAACTAAACGAGTATAAAGTTGATTCTAATTACAAAAAAATAGATCAAATTGACCAATATAAGTATAATTTAACCACTAGATGGAGACAGACAGAGTTGTCCGTAAATGTGACGGTTAAGACTTCAACGTAAATTTAACACGTGTATGTGTAAAATTTAATCGGTTAACCAGCAGTTTTAATAGCTGTGAAGTGAGTGGTGGTGCCTCATTGAGCACTGGAGTACCTCACCTCTCCACCAGTACTTCTGGGAGATGTAATCCCAGGTGAATTGTTGGTTAAGGTGCTCTCCCGCTTCCGTGATGTGCGCCTGGATGATGAGCTCCTTCCTCCGGTCTTCTTGCAGCACCACTTCAAGCTCTGTAAATTCGTTCTGCCCCTTCAGGCGACGTTGAAAAAATAGAGTTCCGTTCCTCACGACATAGCAGGCCGCCGCCTTGCGTATTTTCCTTTTGGTGTTGCCTGGCGTTCCCGGGGCGTATGGCTCCTGCTCATCAGTCAGATAGCGAACGATAGCTAAGTAGCTTTCTTCACACGACATGTCGTCGTTGCATATGCGCGGTTTATACTTAAATAGGACTTTATCCTAAAAGGAAATGCCTTCTTGGGACATGGAAAATAGAGAAATAAATTTTAATCAATGTTCAGATTAATTAAAACTTAAAATATAAAAAACAGCCACATTTAAAATTGTTTTTAAGGGTGGAACTGCAGTTCATCAACGACAGAGTTAGGCTTACCCGAGCAGACAAAATGGCTGCAGCACAACCGGAAGCTGCGTAATTACTAGCGGAAGAGTGTCGTCATTCCTTGCCACCACTCGATGGCGCAGTGTTCAAACAAATTCGAAATTCTACGTCAACATGTTTTGCACATTCTCTGAAATAAAAAAGGTATTGAGTGCTCGTTATTTTATTTTATTACAACTTGTATTGTTTTTTAAAAAAAATAATTTTTACTATTTTAAATTGAACAATAACGATTTGCTTTATCTATATGATGTGTTATGAAACATTAAAATCCACTGGCAATCTGATCAGATGTGCAAAAGTTTAGACCTATTATTTTTTGTATTATAAAAATCAGTGGAGTGTAATGATGAATATCGGTTTTATGAGTAACAACCAGATCACCTGACATTGGCTCAACACCTGACATTGGCTCAGGGAATGAATTCATCAGGGAGAGCATTTAACAACCCACTTTTTTTTCCATTAGTCACTCACACAAGAGCCAAATATCAGCTGGAAAAAATTTACTTCTGATTTTCAAAATTTTAAGATTAACACAACAGTGGATTTTTTAACCGACCTTACCAAAGAGAAGTGAGTCAGTTCTTGTTTACCTTTAAATGCTCGGTATGCAATGTTTGACCTTGACCTTTTTACATTGGCTGAAGCTTAGAAGACAGTAAGAATATTTGCAAAAAGTTACTCACGAGGAGCTGTTTTTCATTGTTGCCTGGGAGGATGCAGGGAGTGGGAGGATTCAAGAGATCCTGATTACACGACAGCCGCTATACTTGCACAATCACTTCTCTCTCTCTGTGGCCTCTAACTGCTTGGTCTTTAACTGCT